ATTTGGATGGTGACTAACAACACAAGGTCCATTCTATGACGATGGTTGTGTTGCAATATCATGCATCCATCTAAGATCCCAGCCAGTTTATAATGATTAATAAAAGAAACAGAACAAGGCTTACCGCACTTGATGAACTCTACAATACATTTTGTGTGTGATATGTTAAATCTAACCTTGCAGGGTTTTGTTTTATTTTATGATATAGAGATGTAATGGTCTTGGGGTCCTTTTGATATTGTAGATTGCTGGTCTATGGTTGAGAATGGAAGTTTTCGTCTCTGTTGTAGTAATGAAAACTAACACGTCAATTTAGGTTGTGTTTTTCTATTGTTATGCCCCCGCCATAAAATTGGGGGGGGGGGGGGGCATATAGTTTTGCCCATGTCTGTCCCGTCCTGTCCCATCCATGAGCGGGGGCATTTATGTCTTATAGACATTTTCTAGTTTATTATATTAGTGCCTGGTCGTTGACAAACTTGCTTCTTTACCAAATGTTGATATTGACATTTTGCACTCTGGTCAAAGGTCAACTATTAGAAGGTGACCTTTTTTATGTCATATACTTGGCCTTGTAATGAAGCCTGTAAAAGGTCCATATTGATATGCTTTTAAATGAGGGGGCACCTCAGAGCAAATCGGCCCCAACCTCCTCCCTGTATTTATATGGCAATAAGCCCATGTCTTAATTGTCATAAGCTAGAGTTCCCATGCTTATTGCAGCTCAGTAGAAATGCCAGCAAATGCTATTTCATTGTCCTTTAATAAGCCCACCAACTACAATGAGTGAGAGCTTATGTGTTGGCCTGCAGGGCATAATATTTGCATTAGTGAGATTTTGTTATGTAGAGATAACTACAGTGCTATTTATGTGGCAGTATAATTTTTTCCAATTGTACATTAAGGTGAATTGCTAAAGTCTACACACTCAACATTTCTATTCATATCTAATAATTCAGCACATCAAAGCTAGACATATATCCTACTCTGTAGTATGTGTAATGGAAAATTCTACTGCCTGGAAATAACGATATACTATTATCTTCATTGGAATGATAGATATCTGCTCCATTTCCTACTTGTTCTGTGGCATTCAAATTAACAGAAGTCCTCAGATTTAATGTTAGGATATTTACGGTAACAGTAGAGACAGCCCCGACCTTGACCACATTACACAGCTATGCCTGTGATGGTGTATTTATGGCTATTCAGGCCAAAAATGTGGGCTATTTCTGTAAGTGTTACACAGCACCACACAGACCCAGAAAATAGGCATCATTGTATCACAACAGCATTGTGTATACTTATCAAAACTGTCTGTAAAAATGTCTATATTGTATTGAAATCAGATGTTTATCTTGATGGCTAACTGTGTATTGTAGTAGTTAGCTGCAGTGTTTCATTAATGACTTATTGCAGTCTTCTTGGAACACTGCTCTCCCCATGGCGTTTTCAACGTAAAGCAATGTTTATTACTGATACAGAATCTTCACAGTACAATACAGACCCCATCCATTCAGCCTGTGTTTCTTTCTTTCAACACAGCACCATATAGAGATGAGATTATCCCAATACAAAATCATGTATAAGTGATTCAACACAGCACCATATAATGATAAGATAAGATTCTCCCAATACAACACCATGTATATAGCGATTAATATTTCTATAATATATAAAGCACCATGTAAATTATGATTGAGATTTCTATCTCGACACAGCACCATATAGTGATAGGATTCTCCCAATACAACACCATGTATATATATGTAGTGATTAAGATTCATATCTCAACACAGCACCATAAAATGACAAAGATTTATCTTGACACAGCATGATATGATATAGTAATATAATGATTTCTATCTCAACACAGCACATAACACAGATCTCATCCTCTCTTAATTGTCACACCCTTCCATAGAAATTCTTCGTGCAATACAGCACCAGGATGTGATACAAACATTTCCTGCTTCACTGACAAACAGTCGAGCAGCAATTTACAGAATTTCACTCTGACCCTTGTCTGGTACATGATAATAAAGTGGATGTATTATTTATCAAGGAAACAAACTGCTATTATGTTAATTATAACTTAGAGTTGTTGACCTTTTATGGTATTGGTTCATTATCCACTAGGAGGTTTGAAAGGCTGGAAAATGCAAGAGTTTACGAGACTTGGATCTGTAGGGTAGACTAGGGAATACAAGAGTTTATGGAAACTCGATCATCAGGTTGTTGACCTCAATAATACAATATAGTTATATGGCTAATTAATAGGGAGGAAAGTACACTGGAGGATAATTGTATATTGAACAGTATCATGGCTGATATCTATCACCATTACTTAGGACTGAATTGAAAGTCTATGTGATCAAGCTTAAGAAAACAAAGGCAAAATTTCGACAAAAAGAAATCCTATATAGCCATTTGCTTGTGTCCAAATCTTTTTGTTGTATGTCTTGTAAAATAATTTTTTGTGTTGCACAAAATGACGTATTGATAACTAAATTGTATATGGAGTTGGTTGAAGTTGATCAAGATAAAGTATAGGAAATGAAAAACTAGCAAAATTGTGTACTGTTTTAAGTTTTCACTGTTCCATAAAAACAACTTGAGACTTGGCTTGAATACTGAATGAATCATGCTATGTAGCCCACATATTTACCTGAACAATTTCACTGGTCGTAAAAAATTGAAATTTTTAACCATGGTTGTGTGTTGTTATCTGGTGAAGAAAGTGTTGTATGCTTTGCTGGCAAACGCTGAAAGAGACTGAAGGAATGCCCACGTCACCTGCATATTTGAGGATTAGTGGAATGTCTTAGTGGACTTGGCACGCCAGCTGGCTTACTCTAGACATTCATAACATTATATTGGTACATTATCTTCATATCTGGTGAAATCATAGGGGTTGGGGCTTTTGTACATTGTCTAGCATTACAAGTGCCAGGGTATACCAGCACATGGGCATTGTCTTTAGTCACACGGGCTGGATCACACAACAACATTAGTCACAAGGTCTGGTCACACAACAACATTAGTTACAAGGGCTGGATCACACAACAACATTAGTCACAAGTGTTGGATCACACAACAACATTAGTCCATGGACTGGGTCACACAACAACATTGGTCACACAACAACATTAGTCACAAGTGTTGGATCCCACAACAACATTAGTCCATGGACTGCGTCACACAACAACATTAGTCACAATGACTGGGACACACAACAACATTGGTCACACACCGACATTAGTCACAATGACTGAATCGCACAACAACATTAGTCACAAGGGTTGGGTCACACAACAACATTAGTCACACAACGACATTAGTCACAAGGAATGGGTCACACAACAACATTGGTCAAACAACGACATTAGTCACAATGACTGAATCGCACAACAACATTAGTCACAAGGGTGTGGGTCACACAACATTAGTCACAAGGGCTGGGTCACACAACAACATTGGTCACACAACGACATTAGTCACAATGACTGAATCACACAACAACATTAGTCACAAGGGCGGGTCACACAACAACATTAGTCACAAGGACTGGGTCACACAACAACATTAGTCACAAGGGCTGGGGCACACAACAACATTAGTCACAAGGACGGGGGCACACAACATTATTCACAAGGGCTGGGTCACACAACAACATTAGTCACAAGGGCTGGGTCACACAACAACATTAGTCACAAGGGTGTGGGTCACACAACATTAGTCACAAGGGCTGGGTCACACAACACCATTATCATTGTCACAAGGCTGGGTCACACAGCGACTTTATCATTGTCTAGTCACAAGGCTGCATGGGTCACAAAAACAGCATGTACATTGTCTACAGTCACAAGGCTGGGTCACACAACATGTAAATGTTTACAGTCACAAGGCTGGGTCACACAACATGTAAATGTTTACAGTCACAAGGCTGAGTCACAAAACATGTAAATGTCTACAGTCACAAGGCTGGATTACACAATGACATAATTATTGTCTTTAGTCACAAGGCTGGGTTGCACATTGACGTGTACATTGTCTACAGTCACAAGGCTGGGTTACATATTGCTGTGCATTGTCTATAGTCACAAGGCTGGATTACACAATGACAGAATCATTGTCTACAGTCACAAGGGTTGAGTAATCATATGTACATGGTTGCATTGCAACATATTCATTGTGTAATTGTGATGTCACAAAATTGTTCAAGCAAGTTTTTTAGTCGGTCGTTAATCTTATTTTTTCTATATTTACTTCCTTCACATGGACATTTAATCCTTTTTATTATATATATATATACATGTAGTGACCACGACTTTGCCACCTCTAGTCAAGGGCTGGTTACAAACAAACAAACATTTAATCACTGTGTCTAGACAAGGCTCGAGGTAATTATGTTATTAACTGTCTGGGTATGTTGCGCGAGATTTTTTGACATATTTACGGTAATACTATTTGTTCAGATATTTATGGTAATTCTTGTTTAGAAGTAGGATATCTAATTATGGATTTACTAAAGTGTATGGTACATTACTGTGCTTGTTTAAATAATGATTGTGTATCTTTTAGTGATGCAACTTAGGACATGTACTTTATACTTTTCCTGATAACCCAGCTTGACGGCTATTCAAGGAAATAACAACTTAAGTTTCTGGAAGTAGTTTACATAAACATGACAGTTCTGTAGAAGTTTTAACACTACTGTTCTGAATCAGAAAAGAAGTTGTTACTCTTGATATATTTTGTTTGATCCTGAAGTTTAAGGTGAATAATGGAGTCAGATTATAATGTTTCCTTAGAAATATACCCACCTGACATAGTATCGTGTACTGCTGTTCAGCTAATTATATGCCATATAATAAAAAAAAATGAAAAAACTTCATATAGTTATTCTGAAAACATCTATATTTTTATATATTTTTTGTAGAAAATAAAGAGCAATACAAGAATGATGTTTTCTTCCAATTCTTTCCTTATGTTTACAGGGAAATGCCACGTTACACCTGTATCCTCATTTTGAACCACTGCGACAGATCGAAGGTATGTTGTTAAACACCTTATTATACCAGGCTACCAGTGATAAGCCTATCTGGGCCAGTTTGTGTTGAAGCCATCCCAAAATCTTGTTGAAGCATAGGAATGTAAAAGGATTGCTTGGATATATTTGATTTTCAATCACATTGATTATATAACATAGGACCTCAGATTTAAAGCTAATATCCAGTGCAAAACCTGAAAACCAAAAGGCAGAATTAGCATTTATTTACCAATTTTAGGTATAAAAACCCATCCCAATTTGTAGTAAAATCCTGAGGTGTATTTGTAATTGAAGCAATATATTTGTATGTCTACAAAAACTAAGTATATTTATTGTCATGACAAGTGTATTTCTGCAAGTTTAATTGAATGCCATATATTAGACAGTATCGTTGAGTTTTTTGTGTTGTTTATAACATTTCAAATTTGATGAGCACCTGATGCCTGTATCAACTTCTGTAAAGTTTCTGTTTTGTGGGGTTTTGTGTTTTCACAGCTTTGGAAGTTACAATTTCTTTCTGCAAAAAAATATCAATAACATCAATCCTGTCAATCCAGTAATATAATGTTGTATGTCGTTCAAAGGCAACAAGACCTGAAATTTGCCAAAAATACATCCTGATGATGAGCTGTTTCCCCAAATAGCAATTTGAGACCATGCAAAAACTATAATAACTTGTACAGTACTACTGTAGTTAAGGGCCTCCTGAATTTTGTCCCATATTGTCTGAGGTTTCCATCATCCCACCTTGTCACAGGTGTGGGAGAACATGCATTAAACAGTGTTTGGTGTACAAAAAACTTGTTTCCTGGAGTCGTAAAGAGAATGCATATATACATTCAAGCTGAAGACAGAAAACAAATGGGCACTCGATCCTGCTCACTTTGTTAAAAAATAATTTGAACAGATAGGCTAAAATAATGTACATTATGTTTGTACATTCATGCGCCTGTAGCTGTTACTGTTGATAAGTTTAGCTGTGTATATTTGAAGAAGAAGAAAGAAACGTAAATTCATACCAGGAAGAAGGAAAATCTGCAAAAATATTGACCGTGTCATAGGCCTAACTGCTGTCAGCTGTACATTACATAACTATATAGGAATTCTTATAAGTTTTCGCTTTAACTGCTTTTATATATTTACTCAATATATGCTTGAAAGACAACGTTCTGTTTTGTTGTCATTCTTTTACCTGTGTAACAAGTATAGATTTATTTGGCCTGTGGGTTTGTGCAGAAAAGAAGTTATTTCATAACCCTAATGGAACATGCAATCGCAGGATCAAACATAACATTAACACATGGAATGTGCTGTATTTACATGTTGGTGAGAGATTCGTGAACAAATCACTGCTTATAAAGATATAAATGAATTTATATGATGTTATTGAAACTTTCATGATGTTAGATAAAAACAGGTTGATTGCCTTCAAACATCTTGCCATATTTATATCTGGGTGGTCGATGATTTGATGGAAATGTTTCAATATAAGTCTACATGATTGAGATAAAAAAATAAACATGTGATGACATCATCAGTTTTTGTGATGCAAAGTGATGTAAGTATGTGATGACATCATCAGTTTTTGTGATGGAGAAGGAAGATGGCGGCTGTGTTGGCAGCTCATCATTGGGTAGCCTTGGAAATGATACACAAGCTGCCTGATGAAGAGCTGTCCTGCCCTGTTGCTCATTCAACTGAATTCACAAGCTCAAGGACATTCCAGCTAAAATTCACTACCATGGATCAGCAACATCTTATAAAATGTATAAGGTGTATTCCTGTCAGATCTAGTTCAATGCAAGTTTAGCTGAAGATAGTGAATCAGAAACATACTCTTTTAATTTTTATACGCCCGTCGAAGACGGGGACGTATTATGTTATCACGTGAGCGGGCGGGCACGCGGGCGAACGATGTCCGCGCGATATCTCGAGTAATTATTAACGGATTAACTTCAAACTTCACAACAAGGTTAATTACCATGAAACCTCGGACAAGTTCGATAACCGCCATTATCCGACCATAATTT